TTTATATCTAAAGGAAACAGATTCTAGGACATAACAACTTTTAATAGCTTTTTTTGGTACTATATACTGTATACTCTCTATACTGTCTGTTGTATTTTTTATCTTTAATGGCATCATGCTTTAACTCTTAATACTCTTTGTAAGCACTGGAACCCGAATTTGGAAGTAATCCCAAGGGTTAACTAAAGTTGAGTCTAAGTCTTTAAAATCCTTCTGTTAGTCTATAAATCACTGAATGGATCTAAACCAACATAACAGATTTGTTGTCAGTGTATGAACCTCCCAGGCCCCTCAGGTCTTCTAGTTCCAGCCTAGTCTGCCCACCCAGAACTAGAACCTAACATGGAGAAGCAGCATTTAGTTCCTATGCTCTGAAGACTGTAAAATTGCTGAAACCCTGAAATCTTAAAATCAAAGATACAAAGCAATTTATTCAGAACCACCTTTAACTGTTAAAGTTGAACTGTTAGGTGAGGTACCATTAATTTAGGTTGCTGGTTTAGTGTTTTGTTTGCTTTACTACTTTGCTCAAGGTAGTAAAGCTCAAGGACACAACGACTGAGACAGAAAAAGATGCGAACCTGCCAGAAGAAAAGGCAGGTTACACAAATATAGTGACTGTCTGAAGCTCTCCAAAACATATGAAAGTCTGTACATTAGCATGAGTCATACAGCGTACATGTGAAGTACTAATATATATGTTTTAAACACTGTGTGGTGGGTTGTGCCTACATGTCTTAAGGACCAGACCAGTCAAGGGGTCCCTATGCTAAAAACAATTATTGGAAAGATCTGGCCTCCTCTTCCTACCTCCTTTACTGCAAGCAGTAAAGGAGGTAGGAAGTAAGTCAGGTGCTGACTGCTTTGCTTATGATACCTTACTGATAAGCAGTTTTCAGATCAAGCTGCTGTCTAGGTTGTTGAGATGAAAATATACCGGTAACTGTATATAATATAACTAATGACTGAATTACCTTTTTCAGCATACCACCATTTTTTGCAAAGGGCTGGTAACAAGCCATTCATTTGATTCAGCTGTGTTAGAGCAGGGATGCATCTAAATCTTGCAGGAGCTGTAGCTCTTAAAGAGTTAAGCATGTACGGGCAAGATCAAAACATAGTAGAAAGGTTTTGCAAGCTGATAATTGAAAGAATTCAAGTATAATGCTTGGATAAATGTTTGTACTCTGTAAATGTTCTCAAATGTTAGAAACAAATCACAGACTTCAGTGTATTCTGTGAGGAAGTCACAAGTTTGCAAGTTTGAGTCCTGGCCCTGCTGACCTTTTCCGAATGTCTTTCTCCTCTCTGCTAACCCACTTTTCTGTCTGCATACTAAAAAAGGTAGTGAAATAAAGGCAACTAGAACCTAAAAAAACTCTAAAAAAAGAATTGCCTATTCAAAGTTGAGATTTCAAACGCAAAAAACAAATATTTAAAGCTTTTAAACATTGTTTCAAGGCCCTAGTTTTAAAAAGAAATATCAATTACAAGAGAAATACGACAAATATCTTGGCCTCACACTGTCATTCACTTGGACAGGGTCTATTTATCATAAGGAAGATGTATGATGGATAGACCTGACATTAAAAAAGACACATGTTCTGGTGCTGTCAAATTTAGACTGTTGACCACAGTAGTCTAGTTTTTAAAAAAAAAGAAGAAGGGGGATGATGGACTTTATTTTTTATTTTTTTTGGAAGCATACATAGCCTAATTCATATAATATATTAACCTAAAGCAATATGCATGGTATAGTTGTTTCATGTCATGTACGCTGGTCATTGACCTTGACTGAGGCACCTCACAGTAGAACTGCAGTCAGTCCCTGGACTGGCATGGCTATCACTGCTCCTACATAGTTAGGGACTAAATTCCCACTGTGATCAGCTTCATAGTCATGGTAGGACACTTCTTTGATTTCATTTATTTTGCTCAGGATACTCATAAGCCCACAAACCACCAAATGTTGAAAGGGCAATATTATTGCCTTTACTGTTAATATATAATATAAATTTTACACATTCGGTAATAATATGTCACAGGGGATGGATGGTAATTGGTTATGATCACTTAAGAAGGGGGTAATTTTTAAGATTTTTTTTAAAGAAAGGGGATACCATCCCCCGTCATATCGAGTACTGGTTGACCAGTCATCAATTAAATGCTGCAGTTTTTGGAGTCAAAGTGGTTACAGACCATACGACCATCGAGCTGCTAATTATGCGACAAACACCAAAGTCCTGCTACCAGTACAGGATGGATTACTCAATGTGTTATTGATGTTCCTGAAAAATATCCTAACAGCAAAGCTGCCAGAAAACCTTTAACATAAACTTATATGTAGCACTGATAATCACAATTATCTCCTAACAATTATGCCACAAAATGAACATTTGTTTATAGCAAAAGCTTAGGTCAAATAGTGTTAGGAGACCTTCCCCTTCAGAGATACCGGTATGCATACATACATGCTCCCAAAAATAGTAACTAAACACTTAAAAACAAAGTGATTGAAATCAGTACTGAAAAGTTTTATATAATACTAAATGGACTAAAAAGCATTCCCATGGCTGGAGGTGTTGTTTACATTTGATAGCTATAATTTAGATATAATTTCGTATCTTATTATTAAGCTTTTTTGTATGTTTGTTGAATATATTCAAAGGAACCTGGAGGGGCTGCATGGTGGAGCAGTTTGCAGCAAGAAGGTTCTGGGTTCGATTCCCAGCTTTCTGCATGGAGTTAGCATGTTCTCCCTGTGCATGCGTGGGTTCTCTCTGGGTACTCTGGCTTCCTCCCATAGACCAAAAAACATGACTGTTAGGTTAATTGGCTTCTTTAATTGTCCTTAGGTGTGAGTGTGTGTGTGCATGGTTGTGTGTCTTCGTGTTGTGTCTCGCCCCCTGCAACACACTGGCGACCTGTGCAGGGTGAATCCCGCCTCTCGTCCATAGACTGCCGCAGATAGGCAACGTCCGCACTGCAACCCTGATGGAATGATAGAAAGAAAATGGATGGACAGAGAAAACTGTAAAGAATAACAATTATATTCTTCTTATGGTTATATTTTTAGGCTGTCACTACTTTTTTAATCTATATACCATGTAAACCATGACATTTAGAAACAGACCTGATATATTTTTCTAACCTGTTTCAGAGATGGACTTGATTATAGCAGGTGCAGCGTCTGTCAGGACTCCACCCCCTTTATCTGTTCCTTTGAGTTGTGAGCTCAGTCAACACGGACCTCATGCAGCAGAGCTCCTGGATCTAATTATGGACAGCCTTCAGTTATTTTTGTGCTGACTTTGCACCTGGGACTACTCTACTGGAATATCTTGCTGGATCAACTGAAAACAATTAACAAAACTGACTCTCAAAGGTTCCAGTTTTATTTGTGAAAATGGAAATAAATCAAAGAAATCAGAGGATTACTGCTGAGGTCGACTTGAGAATATCAGAGTGAGAAAGCTTCAAACAAGTGAGTTATAGGTTTATAGTGTGTATGTATTTTTTTACCCTAAAATTAAATATTAATAGCTAGAATATGTGCCTTGTTTACTTAGAACTTATTGCATTCTTAACAGTGCTATTCACAAAAAAACTTTTCCACCATCATCCATCCCTTTTGCCTTTATAAAAACCTCAACTAAATATTTTATATAAATATCAAAATACATTTTTTAAAGAGCTTTGCTGCATGATACCTTTAAATCGTTTAGAAATACACATTTGAATAAGTGTCTGATTTTAATTATGTCTGTTTTGTACAGTATAATTTACTAGTTTTATTTATTAAAGTTATTCTATTTGTTTGTTGTCACCCTAAAAGCTATTTTTGTACATTATTTTTGCAGTTGGAACCAAGAAGTATAAACTTCATGATACTTTTACTGTAAAGAGACATCATATTAGTTTATTTTATAACAGAAATACATCAATTCTGCATTTTCTTTCAGGCAAATGATACAGAGATTATGTCCTGTAGAATAGGGTAATAATATGACCTGCCTCAGTTTTAAAGGTGCCCTCATGTTTTTAAAAGAAAGGAAAAAAAAGGAAGTGCATCCTTCTGTGCAGCAAAGCCTTCTTTCTATGTTTTATTATTCACAGTCTTCAAATTTTGCAAAAAAGTGAAAAATCTGTCAAAAAAATCTGTAAATTTAAACTTTTTAACAGGAAATCACACTAGAGCTGAGGATGCTAACCTTGACAAAGACCCTTTGAAACACTAACTTTGATTTTCCTCTATTTACATCATGCTTGTTCAAACAAACTGATGCTGACTAACATTTTTTAAATGTGCAAGGTTGCTGCTTAGCTTCAAGGTAATGATGCAGCTCATATTCACAGCACAGCCACAGCTGAATTCACCCCTCGTCACCCTTCAAACACTTAGCATCTTGGCAATGCTCTCAGTGTGATTGAATTTGGTGGGGGTAGCTTAACTCCTTCGTATTAGCTCTAATCTACATGACTGCACGTGTTACAACCACTGGTCTTACCCAGAGATCAGTGAATCATTATCGGGACATGGAGAAGAAAATGCAACTTCACAAAAAAGAGAATATAATGACAATGAAATCTTTATAATTATAGTACATTTGAATATATGTATCTTCTGTTTGATACGTAGAGAGAAAAAGATCAAGGCTTTTCTGATGCTGATCAGACTGTTTCTGCAGACTGTCGCAGCTCTCAGCCACTTACTGTTGTACTTGTGCTCTAAGCTGCGCTCTAATAGACTTAACCAGCTGTATACACAGCTAAACACAGCAACTGCATTCTACCTGTAAGCCATAGCTTATTTTAAAAGCCAGCTGGGGGGATTCTCTAAAAGACGGCGCTGATCCTGTTTGGCGTTCAGGCACATAAGCAGGGTGTATTTTTAGGTGGAAGTCGGGGCCCAGTCAACACATTAACACCTTTTTATTAATCATAACGATGTTTCAGTCTGACCCTGTGTTTTTGTTCTGCAGGCCCGCACAGGCGGATACAACAAGATGGCAAAAGTCTGGAGTGAAACGTCTTTTTCAGGGAGAAAACGGCTGTCAACAAACACATCCGACGATGAGCTTGATGCCATGGAAAATGGGGACAGCAGGTCTGAAACCTGGTTAAAAAGCAGAATTAGGGAATAGTTAATTCAGGAATCATTCAGATATTGAAGAACGTCATCGGAGTAATTTCTCTCTCCTTACATGCTGTCATTTAGGACTCACTCTGCTTGTGAAGACAGCCCTGAGAGAACCTTGTCTTCTACGTCCCATAGAGGAACACACAGACGTTCCAGGGTAGTGACCAGGTGAATTTCTACATGCTCTCACATCTTAGATCCTAATTATCTTTAAGTATGCTGTGCATCTAGAGAGATACAAAAAAAAAGTCTTACTTGAGTTTTTAGCTACAGATTTATAATACTAGGGACTCATTACATCAAATCTACAGACTCAGCTCCTTTGATTCAGATTAATGATGGACCCATGAGAAATTAAATACATATTTGAATGACAGGAATGTAAGCCAAGAGTTTTAGGTCGGTTCTGTGCTGTAGTTATTTCAGATATACCCCAGAATTTAACACAGAGTGAAAAATTTGATGCGTAAGAAATAACTAAAGTAAGCATCTATACTATAGTAGCGAAAAAAGTTGACAATAAAATTTTTCATTTTTACATCATTATGTAGAAATCATTTTTTAAACATGAAAAAAAAATGGTTTCCACTATGTTAGAACATGAAAGATATTTCATCGCATAACTGATTTTGATGCGCATATAGTGGGAAAAAGTTATTCAGCCATGCAATTTGGTTAAATAAAGGAGATAGATGGTTATTCACTAAAGTTGACATTTTATTAACCTTCTTTGCAAAGAGAGAACAAAACATTCTTAGGAGTCCTAATAGCTCAACGTTCTGCCCTGTTCTGGTTAGGCTGTGAAGGTTGTCAGCGCAAAGTTAAAGGTTTAGTGGAAGATGTTCTTTTTCCGGGTGGATCATCTAAATAAGTGGTCCTCCTAATTGTCAATCATTTTGGTGATATGTTTAAGTACTGCCTTCCTACTTGCTCACCCCTTGGCAGCTATATTTTCTGCTCTTGTTCACTTTCAGGCGTTTTTTTGTGTTTTTTATGTGAGCTACAGTTTCAGCCAGTCATTGAAGTTTATCTTTCTCACTGTGGTTCTTAGAAAAGGCCAGAGGGTAATTTGAGAAAAAGTGTCTTAGAGGTGTATTAGAAGAAAAGAAAAGCCTCAGAAGAAGCAGATATATCCCAGAATGCCTTCCGTGCAAAGCATGATGGGATTTGCTGTCACAGCGACAACTAATAACAAAGATGGCATGGGCATCGCACGGAGGAGGAGGAGTTACGTGACCAATGGGGAGCAGTAGTGATCATTGGTCAGTTAACTGAGTTCGCTATAAAGTCCACTATATATTCCCCGCTCTATATAGTGATTGTAAGACAAAAAGTGTCTGTGAAGTGTATGAGAAGAAGAGAAAGGCCTCGGAAGAGAGAAAAAGGGAGATTCTTTCACGCCATGGCGTACACTGAAAGCACAGGTCCGGCTTCCCATTGATGCGTCGCTTGGAAAGTTTTTACCCGACAGGTAAAGTTTGGCATAGTATTTGGAGAAATCCATTTAACATCACTGCAGGTAGAACTAAGAGAAATTGGCTTGTTCACGCTCTCGCACGCGTTTAATAGATGTTCCCTCTCGGTAGGGGGTACAGGGTTGTGTATGTGCTTTTTGTTAAGTGAAGAGGGTGGGTCTTTAGCAAAACTTCTACAAAATACCATAAATTAAAACAATTAGACAGTTTGAGAAAACATTAAAATGTCTGAGAAACAGTAATTACGGTATGTAATTATGAGTTGTTATGAGACAATGATTATTTCTATCCCAAACACTCCCTAATAGGATAAACATCTCCTCTCCCTTAGCCTTGCAGCTCAGAGGCCTGAATGAATGCTTTTATTCCTTTTGTTTTGTTTTGTTTTTTTATCATTTTATGCTCCTAGAAGTAAAATCAGTTCTCATAAGTCAATATATGTAAAAGGGAATTAACAGGAGATTTTTTAAAACAGATTTTTGATTTAGTGAGATTTCATGTAATTCTTTTATCTATTTCAGTTATTTTGAATGTTTCTTATTGCCCTACAGGTTATATTTTCCACAGTATTTTTGAAATTGGAACAAAAAGTATAATAATGATCTTACAGGTCTTACTGCATAATTTATTTGATCACTTTTTTTGCATTCAAATAGAAAACTGTAAATACGTTTATAGTAGGTATGCATACGATTGAATCTGTTGATTAAGATAGAATCTAATATCATGCTTTTAATGATCTAATCAGACAGAGATTGATGGTGTTTCAAAGCATAAAAAAAAAAGGCTTACAAAATAACATATTCGCACAAAAGACAGACTTTTCCAAATCAGGTTCTTCAACATGGAATTATTGAAAACTTAATAAAACTAATCCTTATAGAGGGAACAGTACCTAATGTTTGCTGTATTTTGACCAGATCTCAGAATGGCAGAAGTTAATCGTTAGGGAAACAGAAATTTTAGTATAAGAGTAGTGATACTCTTATAAGAATATTACTTAAGTAAAAATAAAAAGTAGAGTAAGCTACTCCTAAAAGTACTTCTTATTCTAAAAGTTACCCTAGTAAAAAAAACTGAGTATGTAGTTACTACAAAATTTTTTGGCCCCGATACCTGATGCCTGGCTGTGCAGAATTGGCCGATACCATCTGTTTGAAATTGTGTGCGTATATGGAGAACTGCATACTACCTGGATGTAAAATAATTGCCATCATGGCTTTGTCAAGCTGCTGCCTACCTTTGTGAAGCAGGAAAAAGACTAATACAAAGTGAATCCAGTAGAACTTTTTATTGCCTACCTGGAATGGGTGATAATAGTTGACTAAACATTTGGCTCTCAAAATGGTATCGGTGCCATATTTGTTGGTACTCACCCACACCGATACCAGCATTTTAGTGCTGGATCGGGGCCCCACCTGATACTGGTATCAGTATCGGTGCAACGCTAGTTTAACCCACCTCTGTGTCTCAGTTATTTCTTTGGTCGGGTTTTTCCAAAATGGAGGTTTCCATGTGTACCAAAAACTGAGTCAAACGCCTTTAGCAGTGATTTTTACCATTATTTTTTGTACTACTAAATCAAGTCTATGGTTGCAACATTCCAATTTTTCTCTTCAAGTGAGTGAATTTATAATGAAAAACAGCACTGCTGTGCATTTCAATGTGGAAGTGCAGCTAACAAGTCAAAGGTGAAAATACATCCATGTAAAGGACTGTAAATGTGGTTGAGCTGTTTTTAAAGTCCACGGGACATGCTAATTTAATTTATCTATTTATTGGGGCTCAGAAATTACAAATACTATCATGACTACATATAATAAAAAAAGAACTCAGTGGATATTCAACATATGCACGGATGGAGTTTATGTAAATACTATGAATATGAATAAATTCAAGTCATTTGGAGATATTCTGTATGCAATACATGCTTTCAACTTGGTCAAACTATTTATTATATAAAGATTGAGGATATTTACTTCAGTAATATTTTCATTAATTTTAGTTAAATGCATAAGATTTTGCACTAACTCTAAGGCAGCTTGATAACTAATCCATTCCTGGAGTAGATTGATGTCACTTTGAAGTGTTTCACCTCCTGCTGACCTTTTAGGCTGTCTTACCTCTTCCTTATGCTGCGGAACTGGGTTTCTCCCAGGATGAACCCTGTGGAGGAGAGGAAAGACTCTTTCCTGGAGCGCATCAGAGGCCCGACACTTAAACACACAGCCAGTGGAGACATCCCCCAGTGTGTTGGTCATAATGAAACACAAAGAAATAAAAAGTAAGTATGGTGCTGTTTTATTAGTCACCATCAGTGACAGTGAGGTGTAGGGTCTTATGTTCAGTTTTAAAGGAAAAGTCAGGTCAGCAAGGAATGATCAATGGATTATTGTTACCTAAAACTGATACGTTCACGCTGATTTAATGAATTTAGTGTTAATAAGTAACAAAAATAAAAATAATAGTTTTCGTCGCGATCACTGAGTCTGGGAGCGGCCATTTTTACCCAAATCTAATAACGCCTCACTCCTGACATCTTCCGGCAGTGACGTCACGGTGCCGTAAGCGTAGCGCCATTCTCCCCGTTTTACCACCAAAATCAATGGTGACTACTAGACACATCTGCAATCAACAACAATTATTTCATATTTTCAGAGGACTTCACCATTGAAATTTTCAAGAGCTATAGTTAAACTGGCAATTCCCACTTGCATGGCAGTTGTGCAATTCATAATCCACCACGGGTTCCTTGTTGGACTGCAAACTTGATGAGGGAGGATTTGCTATCGAACTTCTCGCCAGAGAAAAAACCCACCATATGTAGCCAACATTTCGCAGAAGAATGTTTTCAAGATGACTTGGATAATAGCTTGTTGTGACAAACACCAGATACAGCACTGGGACTTGCTCAACAGCCGATATCGCACCGTGACATCATAAACCGGTAGGTGGCAGTAGTGATCTTTGCCAAACGTGGATGCCTCCAGTAAAGCACGTTGAAATAATAAATTACTCATAATTTATAAACACTTATCATTTATTGAACAGTATGTAATAAATTCATATATAAAACACTTTCAGAAGTTTGAATTCTGAATATGATCTGACTTTTCCTTTAGTAAAGTAAAAAACACCAGACCCATTGTATCAATTAAATCTTTTGACGTGAGAAAACTCCAAACCTTATAAGTCCACTATTGCTAAGAACAAAATGTTAGCAAAAGCTCCCAGCTACACTAGTTTTGATATTTTTGAGGAAAATATTTTTTGCTCCTTTTCTTTTTCTTCTTAATGCAGTCTAAAAACTTCAAATCTGTACTTAAGTACACTTTTTAGGTATCTATACTTTACTTCATTACTATTTTGTTTCCTACTGACTTCTAGTCATTACATTTTCACACAAGTATCTGTACAGTCTATTCCTTACATTTTTAAAACAAACGTTGCTCGTTACTCTTGGCTTCGGTGTAATGTTTATAAATATGTATTTTACGTCATGTGCACCATCCAATGCAGATCATTGGCTCCATCCATATCTAGTGAAAACTAGTGTAATTGGACGAGTCATATAACGCAAACACTCATTGGTTAGCTAAAGGAAATCATCAGAATCAAGCAGGTGTTCTTCAAACTGCAAACGTGAATTGTCTATGCCATGCTACAATGTGGGATTCAGGAAAAGATGAAAAAATTTTTAAAAGATCGGACGGACACCTTTACTTTAGTAAAGAGGTCAAGTTGATACTTCAACTTTTACCAGAGTGTTTTTAAAATGCAATATCTATATTTCTACTTAAGTAACTTAAGCTGTGGCCCCAGTATGGCTTGCCCCCATCAGTGTGTGAATGTATATTCCACCGAGCAAAAAACTGCATGAAAACACATTATAAAGATGACATGATTTTTTCCCAAACATTTGGCTGAAAAGTGAAAAGCTGTAATTTTCAGATTGTTAAAAAGACGTTGAAAACTAGTTTTAAACATCTTTCAACGTCTGTCATTGGATTAAAGTGGAACAAAATCAGCCCAATTTTTAACGATGATTATTGGACTAAATCAAGACTATGACGGACCGACCAGATTTAGCCTAAAAACTAACGTCTAAATGACATCTGGTGTTTGGGGGAAGCATATAGGTGAATGCAGTGTAAAGAGCTTGAGAGTCCTCTAATTCAAGATGGCCTTTTCCAGCAGTACCCTCTTGTCTGTCTGGACAGGGTCAGAATAGAATTTAAATGAATGACTTTTTTAATCAAGCAGAAAGTGGGTTTAGAAGAAGAAATATGTTCTATGTATATACTAGTACACACAGTCATTCGAGGTATACTATATGTTTTTTTTGGAAATCTTAACTGTGCTCTGTAAAATAAAGGCAAAATAGAGTGCTATTTAAATAAGAAGAAAACTTATTGTTAATTTTTTTAAGTGACAGGTATGATCTCTTTTTCATCTTTCTAGATAAACAATAATTGTATTTTGGTATTTGTATTTAGGTATTAGGAAATATACCCTTGTAAAGTATGACAGGACATTTCTCTCTTTTTTTTCACTTCTAAAGTCTTAAGTGGCCCCTTGCTGCTTACAACACAAATAACTGCAACAACACAGATGAGTAAGTGCGCACAAATTTTCAGAAGTAGCTGTAGATTTCCTTAGATATATTGATCAGAATTCATTCATAATAGCAGATGCAGCTTCCTGCCTTTTAGTTACCGTTGTGTGTTAGTGAATAGTGTAAACCTTTAAAATTATATTTCCTTTCCTTCTTTTACTTTTACCTGCATTAGGGATATATATATATATCTATATATATATATATATATATATATATAGATAGATAGATAGATAGATAGATAGATAGATAGATAGATAGATATAATCATAATGATAAAAGTTATGATGACAATGATACTATCCCCTAAACGTCTTACTTTTTTGTTGCAAGTGAGGATATAGGTTTGCAAATTTAAACCCGACTAGAAATTAAGCACCATAAGGATTGTATGTATCCTCTTCCATCTGCTGGGAAGATGTATGATCTGCAACAGACTTTCCAACAAAAAAAGGATTCCTATTAGAGTATTCCCAAAGTTCCTCCACCTTATGTAGACTAGTAGCTTGAGTGCCATCATTAACAACCCCTCCACCCCCACCCTGAGTCCATTTCCTAAAATCATTTAAATTAATCTTGTGATCTTTAGCAAAAAAGAGGACAAAAAAGATGAGATTAAGAAAGATGAGAAGAAAGAGGAGGAGAAAAAAGAGGAAAAGGACGGAGACAAGAAGGAAGAAAATAAGGATGAGAAAAAAGATGAGAAGAAAGATGAAAAGAAAGAAGAAAAGAAAGATGAGAAAAAAGATGATAAGAAAGATGATAAAAAGAAAGAGGAACCTCCGTAAGTATTACATTAGGTACTGGTGATAGATGCTGTTTTAACCTGAAATAGAAAAATGTTTTTCTATGTATTACAATGTACTGGGTTGTTTTCAGAAAAGAAATATGGATTATGGATCCATCAGCGGACCAGTACTACAGATGGCTGAGTGTCATTGCGGGCCCCGTATTTTATAACCTTATCATGATTGTAACAAGGTATATTCTTAATATCATTAATAATATATAATCAATTATTGTATTGTCTTCTGGTTTCTTCTGAAAAGTTTCCCTTTTTTTTTTTAGGGCCTCCTTTAATGAGCTCCAAAATTCTTATACCAAACTCTGGATTGTATTGGACTATACCTCAGACATCATCTACTTCATGGACACGTTTGTCAGGTCAAGAACAGGTCAGAATAATTAAAATTTCCAAATGAAAGAAACAGATTTGGTATTTTTTGATCTGTGAGTTTTGACCTCCCTCTTCTTTCTCGTAGGTTACCTTGAGCAAGGCCTGCTGGTAAAAGATGCCAAAAAACTAAGAGCGAAATACAGAACGACATCTCAGTTTAAGTACGATATGATATCGATGATACCCACAGACCTGCTGTTTCTGAAATATGGATTTGATAATCCGGAGTTCCGTTTCAACCGTCTTTGCAAAATCCAGAGGCTCTTTGAGTTCTTTGAGCGTACCGAGACAAGAACCAGCTTCCCGAACATGTTTCGAATCAGCAATCTAGTGCTTTACATCCTCATCATTATCCACTGGAATGCTTGCATTTTCTATTCCATTTCTAAAAGCATTGGTTTTGGAACTGACACATGGGTCTATCCCAATATCAGCCACCCAGAGCATGGTCGACTGGCACGGAAGTACATCTACTCCCTATACTGGTCTACGCTTACCCTCACCACCATTGGAGAGACACCAGCACCAGTAAGAGATGTTGAGTTCCTCTTTGTCATTGGGGACTTCCTCACTGGTGTGCTCATTTTTGCTAGTATTGTCGGTAACGTTGGTGCCATGATCTCCAATATGAATGCCTCTCGCGCAGAGTTTCAGGCAAAGATTGACTCTATAAAGCAGTACATGCAATTTCGAAAGGTCACCAAAGACCTGGAGGCTAGAGTCATCAAGTGGTTCGACTATCTTTGGACCGAGAAGAAGACCTGTGATGAGAAAGAAGTTTTAAAAACACTCCCAGACAAGCTTAAGGCTGAGATTGCCATCAATGTCCACCTGGATACACTAAAGAAAGTCCGAATTTTCCAGGACTGCGAGGCGGGTCTGTTGATCGAACTGGTGCTCAAGCTGCAGCCACAGGTGTTCAGTCCTGGAGATTACATCTGTAAGAAAGGAGATATCGGCAGAGAGATGTACATCATAAAGGAAGGGAAGCTGGCAGTGGTGGCTGACGATGGCGTCACTCAGTTCGTGGTGCTCAGCGACGGAGCCTACTTTGGAGAAATCAGTATCTTAGGAATCAAGGGCAGTAAAGCAGGCAACAGACGAACAGCAAATATCCGAAGCGTAGGATACTCTGATCTCTTTGCCCTCTCTAAGGACGACTTGATGGAGGCTCTCACCGAGTATCCAGATGCTAAGAAAGCTTTGGAAGAAAAGGGAAAAGCCATCCTGATGAAAGACAACCTAATAGATGAGGCGGTTGCGAATGCGGGTGCTGACCCCAAAGACTTGGACGAGAAGATTGTAAAACTGCAGGGCAACCTTGATGTGATGCAGACCAAGTTTGCTCAGCTGTTGGCAGAGTTTACCTCCACGCAGGCGCGGCTGAAGCAGAGGGTCTCCAAAATGGAGGAAAAGGTGAAATCCATACAACCTGAGGACCTTTCTGAAGTGGTTGCTGACAAAGACAAAAAAGTCCAGTGAGAAAACATAAACAAAGAACTATAAAAGTGACTTTCTTTTATTTCATATAAATGCCCACATTTTTAACTGTTTATATATCTTGTCTGTTGTCATCATAATGTGTCAAATTGTGTACAGTGTATGCAGGGGATCATCATGCTTTCTGACTAACTGCTACTTTTGTCTTGTCTTAAAACAGATTGAGATCATTGAGCAGAAGCACTTGTTTAATGCCAAAAATTGGCTTTTTATAGCCTTAGAATGATGACTTATTTTTCTGATAATAATTCAGATTGTTCAGGTTAATGTGTTGCTCTCTGTTGACTATATTTCTCATTCTGCACTTACAATTTATTGATTAAAATGTCTACAACTTAAAAAGCCAGTGTTATTTCTATGTCACTGTCAGCATACTCTTACAATTATGAATGCTATATGCAAATAAAATGTTCAAAATAATTACTTTGTCAATATATGGTTGAAAACAGACATAATATTTAACTAATTTCAGCTGAAGTATTTTTCAATCCACAGAAAAATCCTTGCTCCTTAATACTGTGATTGTAGACTAAAAGCAATGTTTAATGGGATAGTAAAAAGATATTTATTAACAGAATTTCCTTAAGAATCCAAATAGATGTTCTTATTTTATGATTCTAGTCTCTATCAACACCAGCAAAGTTCAATCTAGTACCATTTTAAATTAAAAAAAAACATGGAGGGAGGCCAGAACTTATAAAACTAGAGCTCCTTATATGGCCTTATTTGCTGTGATTTCCCTCGGGGATTATTAAAGTGTCTGATTATATAAAATGAGTATTTTCCAATTATGGAGGTATACCATTAATTATTGCATAACCTTCTGGGTGAGAAACAAATTTTAAGATTTTTATTTGTGTGCGTTTATGTTCCACTGGCTTCACAGATCTTCTAGATACATAGTTGACACATTGGCTCCTATCCTGCCTCTTATGTTGGCATAAAACAAACATGCTGCATGGTTGCATACATTGGGGAATGAAACAATTTTTGTCTAACATCCAATCTTGCACAAGCAATTTCCAAGTCCTCTATTTCATTGCAAACAAAATCAGATTTAAATTGGAGGCAGCAGGACATTTGCTCAGTCTTTTCTGAAGACTTCTAAAACAATGATCATTCCTATCCTTTCAGTGTCTTCTTTCAACCATCTGTCTGAGTCTTAGAAATGGTCAATAAAAGTGTAAAATGTGCTGCTGAGGTGTTAATCTACTGCTGAATCTCGCTCTCCTGTGCGGCACCGTGTATTTATGAGGTTATTATTTGGTTTTTCTGGTATAGAAATCCAAATAGTTAAAGAAAATCAGAAAAAATTATTCAGTTTCTCAGAAACCTTCCTTTGTTTTGTTCTATTTCTTTACCCTTTCTAACCTTGAATTGACAATCTAGGGATGTTAAATGCTTAATATGTGCCCCTATGCGGCCAAATAGATAGAAGCTGAATTGATCAGAAAGTAGGTTATGATGTCACCAATTAGATCCACTTCTAGGGTGATGAGATGAGTGAAGGGTAAAATGAGATTAAGCAATCCTATTATTAGGTCATAATTTCTGAGACATATGAGCAGGACTAGCTTAAAATATGTCGCAGAGGATCATGTCATTAAATAGGTCTATGGCTTCCCAGAGTAGTAAATGTTCTCACAGGACCAAACCAAACCACCAAAGCAAAAGAAATTAAGAAAAGGAACAATTTCACCCTAGGTATATATATATATATATATATATATATATATATATATATATATATATATATATATATATATATATATATATATATGTAAAAGCGTTACCTTGAAATTTAATTTAACTAGGCTGAAACTTATTTCATTAGTTTGAATATGTATTCTGCTTTATTAATTTATTTTTGTTTTGGAAATCTGTCTTATCCTCACTTTAATTTTGCAATTTAATTTAATTTCAGTTTTTAATCCATCCATCCATCCATTTTTCGTCACGCTTATCCCAGCTGGGGTCGTGGTGGGTTGCTGGTGCCTATCTCCAGCTGTCTACGGACCTGTCCAGTGTGGACCCTGGACAGGTCGCCAGCCCATCGCAGGGCAACACAGAGACTAACAACCATTCACACTCACACCTAAGGAGAATTCAGAGAAGCCAATCAATCTATCAGTCATGTTTTTGGTCTGTGGGAGGAAGCCAGTGTACCCAGAGAGAACCCACACATGCACAGGGAGAACATGCAAACTCCATGCAGAAAGATCCTGTCCAGGAATCGAACCCAAAACCTTCTGTGCCACTGAGCAGCCCCACCGATTTATCTTCAGGTTAAATTTCCTTTCAGTATTTAGAGTTGAAGTAAGTGTGCACACAGCATGGGGCTTACTGATGGAAACAACAAGCACAACATTAGCTATTCAGACTAACAATACTAAATGTCTATGAATAACAAGGATCCAATGGGCTAAAGGTAACAGTTATGCTGTCTACAGCTATTAGCTACAAGCACTATAACCTGCCATCAGTGTTATGTACTTCTCTGTTCTCTGATTGCTATGCCTAAAATGCTGAATGGCATCTAAGCTTATGTGTGCTCCAGAATTAAAAAAAAAATTCAAAGTAAGGAATTCATTTACAAACCATAAAATTTGGTTTCAACCTAGTGATTTTTTTTCAAACCATGCAATAAATTTCTAATTAATTGCATTAATTAATAAAAAAAAAAACTATTCAAATTCAGTTTCTAAAGGTGTAAGTTTCTGTCCATAGCTTGGTTACATTGTCACCAAACTGAGCAGGCATTTCTATACTTAGTAAATAAATAAAAAAAATTACAACAAAGCTTGGATTTTTCCCTTTTATTCACCTTGCATATTGGAGTTTACAGAAGTACTTTCTGCAAATTCTTTACATACCTGAGATACATGGCCAAATCTAACCTTTTATTGTGACAGTTTCCCTTAAACAGGCCTTGCACATTTGGCATCTGCACATAGAAGTGTGCAAATCAGTAACTCTTAGGCAACAAGAGAAGGAAACCACCTGTTTCAGATTTGATGCGCTAATACTGTCGCTAAATCGCTTTGAAACAGATTCTGAAACCTTGCAAACTGCAGAAAACAATAATATCACATCAGGTTCACAGCAAACTATGTTCATCTGTTACAGGCACAGCAAAAAAGTTTCAATCATAAACTGAAGATTGCCCTTACTAAGACAGAAAATACGGTTTATAAGTGACGCTATATTTATTAGCAGGTAATACAAAAGGGTTCAACTCTTTGTTTTCATCAGTTGCAGTCAAGGAGCACCATCACGCCCAGTGAGGAGAAAATACTGCTACATGTATAAACTTCAGAGGCATCAGAAGTCAAACTAGTTTAATAAATATACTTTATCTGCTACTATATGGAAGCTCACTTTCACAGTTTCACAATTCAAATATGGGTTTTATCTTTCAGGAACAGAACTTCTTTGGGATTTCTAATGCCTACATAGTTGTCAAAGTTAAAAAGCAAGTGAAGGCTCAGCATGGAAGGCCAGCGGTGGATTTATCTGTGAGAAATCCATTAGGCACAGAGTTGTTGCAGCATTTTGGTGTTTGTTCAGGTCTCCCTGTGTGTTTCTGTGGTATTCCCTTGTTTTTTTCTTCACAGCATCCCAAAGCCTTTGGCGTAAGTGATGGCCTTGAGGAGTCTCTCTTTCAGTTTTTCCTTGGAGGAGTATTCAGGGAGCAGCAGGGCGTTAAAGCAGGTGTGAGAGGTCGGTAGTCTGCAATAAAACGCAACAGAAAAGGTTTAATTGAGCCAATTGCATCAAAGGTGGACATACAGCATCCTGGGTCGGCCGTACCTGTCAGAGTCAGAACCGTTCTTGGCGATGATCATCTTTAATTTACCAAGACCTCCGACTGGAGCTCTGTCTGTTCCCGTGGTGAACTGAAGAAAAAGCCGTTTCTGCTCCTCGCCGAAAGAGTGGATAATTTCCCAGAAATCTCTGCAGTCAAAAGTATAGGAATGATATTAATTGAGGAATGTCTAAACATCTTTCATTTAAAAAAAATTAAACATTCTTTCAGGTCTTAGTGTTTTAATATTGTAAAGCTCAACATGGCAGGCTTTAAATATAAAATAACTTAAGAGTGGAAAGAATGAAGGACAGAAAGAAGACAATGAGGTAGGACACAAGGAAGGATGAGGGAAGGCAAGGAAGAAATCAGGTAGGAAATTAAGGAAACATTCAAACATGACAGGAAGGGGAGTCGGGGAATGACAAAGAAGAAAGACAGGAAGAACACAATGAAAAAAGGAAAGAAAACAGGACAGAAGGAAGAAAGGAAGAACATAATGAAAGGACAACAGATGGAAGGTCACAAGATTTGTGAAACAGAAGAAGTAAAACCTGAAAGTACAAATATTTCTCCATCTTATCCAGATCCGGAAGAGAACCACTGAAAAGTCATTTTCCAGACTGTGTGTGTATCCGATAATCTCTTTAAAAAGATTTGCTTCAAGATAAATATATCAGCTCAGACAGAGGAATCTCTTTTAGCATAATACACCGACTTTGAAGAACCTCAGAGTCCTATAGAAGAAGTATGAACCCCTAAGCTAGGAATGGCCAAAATACTGCATTATTTAGCTAACAAGATGTGTACAGCATAAAAACCCTTTTCTTACTGTTTAGCTAAGTTCAGATTTGGGTCATTCTCTGGCTTTATATGCAGAAGGGTCATGATGGTGCCTTTAAGTGCCATTAGTTACCTAGAAGACCATTAGGCTGTAAAGCAGGGCTAACCAATTAAAAATCAGTGGGGTCTGAATAAAGAAAATCAACCATCAGTAAAGGTCTGGAGACATTTCTGATTATAATCTGCTACTTTTGAATCTTTATTTTTATTTAACATTTATTTAACCAATAGGGAGTCCTGGCCAAGAGGCAGCAAAGTTACATAAGAAACATTAAACATAGATATATTAATATAAATGACAGGTACGTAAAAAATAAAAAACATATCAAGTAAAACAATTAGAGATCATTGAGGTTGCTTCAAATTCATTCACTTTCAACTTAAAAGCATTTAAAGATAAAAACTCTGTGTTATTTCAGTGTTAAATAGAATTTAACACTGAAATAAAAAGAGGTGTTTATGCATCCACGTTATACATTGAATTTTTGAATGATAAAATATTTATAAAAAAATAGAAAATTTTTCCATTTTAAATCTAAAGTGTTTTTTGAAGTAGAGAACAACAATCATTCAGTTTGGTATATAAAGAATGATTCACATATTTTATAAAACACCTGAACTGACCGTTTTTTTGTTTTGTTTTTTTTTGTGCATGTTTTTTATGTGTGAATTCTGCATAGTCAATGACTGGATGCAATCAGCTTGGCTTCAGTAGATAAACTGCAAAAACTGATCGAAAAACAAATTAAAATGTCTTAAAATACATGTATTTGCGCTATTTTAGTATACAAATATGATAATTCGCCCAAGGAATGAGCATTATTCCCCTTAAATAACAAAATATGATATTATGCACTTTAAGTAGGAAGATGGAGCTTTTATTTTTCTGATTTTTAACATAAATTATCTTTTTGCCTTAGAGAAACGTCCCACTTACCTCCGTACATCAAAGGAAAGTAGTTATTTCAAGAAAATTGTCCTTAATTTGATATATTTTGCCATGTAGAAAACTGTGAAGCAGTCCTTCTGCATGATTTGTGTTGTGTTAAACTGTTTGAGATGACGTGTGTTGTTACCAGGAGCTATATAAACAAACTGAACTGCATGCAGTCAATGGACTTACTTGATAATTTGGCTGTCCTTGTTATAACCTCCATCATATTCTGTTGTCTTTTCAAGAGCTTCAAAATCAAGTTTCTGTGGAATAAAGAAAGAATTGATAGAATCTGTCATTTAAAAAGCACAGCTTAAAACAAACAGCTAAAGATCCATGAACCATTTTAAAATAGGATGAAAATCTATAAACTTAGATAAATGAAAATTAAATGAAAGAAGTAGAAATAAAAGCATTCATAAATTAACTTTTCTTTGATTTCAGAATATGAACAAATCTAGTATTTAATCAATAACAGGAGTGAGACATAGTTGCTATTGTAACATCCCTCCTCTTTTCACTGAAATTCATTATTATTAAGTCAACTGAGGAGATAAAAAGATGTAGAATTGCAAGAGGAATGTCTGCATATTATCACGAAACAAAAGACCTTTTAGAGAGTTAATAAATAACTTTACTCTTACATAAAGCTCTCTATGGTGACCTTTCTAGGTGCACAAGCCTTAAGGCTGATTTATACTCAGAAACCAGGTCGTCTGCGTGTGTCGCAATGAACGCAAATGTGCCCCGCCCCTTCCTCAGACATTCTGCTGCAGCTCTCCAAAACTGTAGGTGACCGCAAACAGTGCTGCAGATAGGAGGCCTCTAATGGGTCAAATCTACATCCGTATTTCCTGTTTGGTACTTTACCAGCTTGTTTTGTATTACCACCATTGTAGAAAGCGACTCATGAATATGGACCAGCTAGAAGAGCGAGGGGCGGAGAACGCTGGGACCCTTTTTCCACCTGGATCCCCGCTCTTTTTTACCCTCATGCCCCTCCGTTGTCGCACAAACTTGCCCCCACTTCCTCACCGCCTCGGCCATATCTAGATCCACAGCTAGTTCGTGATTGTCCCTCTTGCGTTGCGGCGTGGAATAACATAGCGCAGACCACGCTTCATAATTCGGCATAAATCAAAAATATCTGCAACAAGCTAACTGTGACACACTGCTGCAGGAGTATAACCAGCCCTTTACTGGCTTTCCTCATCACAGAGAAGTTTACACCTCCTTTAAACGTTTCAGTATTTGATTAAACCATTGCCTCAGACTTTAAGGAACCTTACAGCAAAACTGCAAACCCACCAAGACGTAGCTATTAGGGATGTTCTGTTGAAAATGTCTGTAACTCATTGGTAACTCATTGGTTAATTTTACATGGATCAGTTGTTTTTCTTTTCAGTTGTTAACTTTTGTTCCCTGTTTTAGTTATAGAAGCTGGTATGATTCATACTAATATCGCATCGGGTCAATATCTGTATCGGCCAATATTCACAGCTGCAATATCAGTATCGTATCGGAAATGAAAAAGTTGTATCAGCACACCCCTAACAGCTATGCACCTGAACTGACTGGAGCATGTGAATAGAGAAACAGCCAAGAGGCCAAAGGTACTATTGAAGGATCTGCAGAGATCTTTGCTCAGCATGGGAGGTACAAGAAAAGCTGTCATAGGCTGCAAGAAACATGGGGCTCGGACAGAAGTACACCTCGCAGGAAAAACACATATGCTAGATACTTAAACAGTAGTGTTCCCACTGGGTCTTCTTCCATTCCCACTAAACTAGAACTGGCAAGGAAGAGAAAACTTTGAATTCTCTAGATATACAAAGCTGACAGGGACTTAAAACCTACAACCTGCAGCAAAAGTATCGACTTAATACGCATGGTCAACATCATGTGGAAAATAATTGTAGTGTTTAATTAGTCCTTCATCAGACATAAACCTTGATGTACGCTGCCGCCACCTGCTGGCAGCATTTACTCACGCGTTTATCAAAATACCAGTTTCAGCTGCGAGTGCTGCTGGTCTCTCATTCCTCTAGGCTGCCAATATTTATTGTGCTTTTGCATACTTAGACTTTTCCTTTTTTCTTTTCACTGGGAGTTGCATTTTTTTCTTGTTTATTCATTGTTCAATAATGTACCTTTGGTGATGGGTTTAGGCAAATATGGAAAATAGATACAGTGGAAAGTCTTTGTATGCAAACTGCAAAAACTAAAAAAAATTAAATCCAATTTTCTTTTAAGAGTATTTTCCCTTGATTTGAGTGATTAGTCAAAGATTTGCCAATGGACAATTTATTTTTAAACAGGAGAACAAAAAACATTATCCTGTATCAAGAGCATAAGATCTAATTTTCTTACTTTAAAGGCAAAATTATTAATTCCATTGGCAAATCATCTTATCTACCTGGTTAAATTAAGCGAAAATACCCATTTCCCAAGACAATTTTACTTATTTTTATATCTGTTTTTGCAATGCAATCAATTTACATTGTACTGTTGAACTGTAAAGTGCCTTGAGATGACTTGTATTGTGAATTGGCGCTATATAAATAAACTGAATTGAATTGAATTGTCATATCAAATTTATAATGAGGTGGCAAGATGAAGACCATGAAGTTAGAAATACTTTTGCTAAAACTACTTGATGAAATCTAGTTAAATGGAATAAAGAGTTATTTCAAAACCTAATCTGCGGATCAGAAAAGACCAACAACTGAAGCAAGTTGTCCTAAATAGGATTCCTTTAACCCTAAAAAGTAGTGCTGTTCAAATTCCTGCCATTTGGCTTTTTTTTTTTTAAAACACCATAAAAGTATTTTGCCAGTTATTACAACTTCCCTTGATGTACAGCATAGATTAATTATATATTTGATAAAACGAAGTCACTGTTTAAAGCTGAGCTGATTTTCCTCACCCTGCTCCCACAGATCAGAAGCTCTACCTCCTCTGGTCTGAACAAGTATTTCAGCGGGGACTCGTTTGTGACCATCAGGAAACCCTTCTTAAAAGCGTTGAACTGGCTTTCCACGCTTTTGTTCAGGATGTAGTCTGCATACAGGTGAACAAATTCCTGTGAATCACAGACACACAAAGAAAGGCATGTTCAAAAAGTTACAGCCAGTTTTCTTTCTTGCAATGTCAAAATCAGTGTGTGGGGAGTTGTAAAGGGTGAGCCAATTTTCAAAGTTATGTTCAGGAAATTAAGCAACATTTGCGACTCCTTTCAAATTAGGCCATCTTTGCTATGTTCCCCTTTTTCAACTTGTGAAACACACACTGGAGGAACCAGGAGCAACATGACTTCTAATCATTTATTTGAATTAGAGGATTAGTGGGGTTGAGGAGGAGATTAAAAAACATTGAATTTAGAAGGATTTAGAGACAAAAAAAGTTGTATTTTTTGCCATCATTCTAAAAGCTGGAGTTCTAAGTCAGGATTTAGAGACTGGAGTGATGTTACTACAGAATCTGTTGGATTGGTGAAGTTTGATTGATGCAAAGATGTAAAAATAGAACAGAAATCTATTGAAATGACATCATTTTAAGAAAAAAAATAAAGATAAATAAAACTTTTATTTTCATTAATGTAAGACTAAATACTTAGAATATAGGGGTGGAACGGTTCACAAAATCCACGGTTCGGTTCGGTTCGGTTCACGGTTTTCGCGGTTACGGTTTTCGGTTCGGTATATGTTGATTGTTAGCCTGACATGTTGGTCGTGTTGCTGTAAGCATAAACAAAACGTGTTGCACAATGCTTGCACACTGTTGCACTTTTATCCACAACTTTCTTTCCGCCGTCATCGTAGTTCACTCTAAATGCAAAGTGGTCCCATACAGCAGACCTATAAAGTGCTGCTGGCGCGTCTTCCAACTCCTGTTCTTTCCCACTCGCCATACCCACACAATTCTCCACAACAACTGATTTTTTTCCTGCTACACCCAGCTACGCTGCTTTGCTTCTTCTTCTTGTTTACTACTGGTGGTTGGCTTTGGTCGCAGTACCGCCACCTTCTGCTCTAGAGTGTGAACGCTTCGCCTATGAGAAAAAGAAGCAGCGCATGAACCAAAGGAAACACACGCGAATCGAACCGAGACAGTCAAACCGAACGGTTCGGACGGTTTTCATAAACCGTTCCATCCCTATTAGAATATATGATATAAATCTGTTCCACATCCCCAAAGTAAGATACAACTAAAAACAGCTCACCTGTCTGTTCTCCTCAGTAACGGGGATCTTGTCTCCGTTCTCCTTCAAGTTATACAGCATGGGGTTTCCAAAAAGGTCTGTGTGGGATATTTGGAAGGTGAGCATCATGTCCTCCTCCAGGCTCCCACTATACTCCAGTACTTCCTTCAAACTTTGATAGAGAACCTGCCACAGGAGAAAGTGGTGACCTGAAGTGCTACTGTAGCTCCAAAGTAAGAAAAGAAGAAGAATCTTAAAGCTATTTCAATTTAATCCTATGTCCTTTACACAAACTATTCAATACCTTGTGTAATAACCTGTGTGATAATCCTGTTAAATATGTATATATGCACCTTTTCCTCCCTTTGGCACCTTCTTTTGACTATTGAGACGATGCGACAAGTTAATTTCTTCACTGTGAGATCAATAAAGTCGTAACCTATTGTAACTCTGGCAGATATTGTTAAATAATAAGCCAGACTTAAAAGGTTGCCTGTTGTCTTCTTTTTGCTATTTTGTTCTCTGCTTTCTGTTCCTCTCATCTCACACAGGTGTTTAAGCAGAGTTACTGTTTATCTTCTGTGCCTATTTTTGCTGTTTTGTTTTATTTTTTTTCTTTTCATGCATCTTTCCTGTCTCTATCACCTTCTCTCTTCCCTTTGTTCTTATACCCTCTTTCTTTCTCACCACCCTTTACTTCTCCATGTTTGTTGCATAAGATTTTACTCCCTTAATAACTTTCAATAAGGTTTAATGTACAAGTATCAAGCAGAAACCTTTGGCAACAGTCATAATGGTCTCCTTGTAAAAGAAGCTGTTGGGCTATCAGCTACCTCTGGGACATCAATCCCCACAGCCATGTTGCCAAAAGAGGATGAAAAAACAAACAAAAAACAACCCCTTTATAAACCACAAAGCAAGAAAGAACAGGAAGGAATAAAGGAAAGAGCCAAGGAAGGGAGGAAAAAATAAAAGTAGCAAACAAGGGAGGTAAGGCAGAGAGGACTCTACAAGAACTCTATGAGACTAATTTCAATTCATACACCTTAACACTGCAACAGATTATCAGAAAAAGATACCGTACTGGGTGTGAGTCTGACAGGTCCAGGAAGGTCCCTTTCTTCCCCATCAGCTTCCTGTAGACAACCATGGGGAAATGAACATCCAGGATGCAGTTGTTGTAAATCGCCAGCCCCAGAACGATTCCAATAAGGGTGTACTGTGCTTCGTTCTCCAGGGAGGATGAATTAAACCAGAACAGTTTGGTGTCGTTGTCATAGGTGAACATCCCTGTGAACACAGTCATTTGAAAGGAAGCGAGTGTAAGAATTGACCCTTATGGTAAACACCCCCAACTATTCTAAGTGAATTTTAAAACAGAGGTACACTAAAGCAGGAACTAAAGGTTATCTGTCAATGGGACCATAGGCCAGCATGAACAGTCAATTTCCATATGCCATTTTCTTTTAGAATTGGTCAAATCTACATCCGCTCTACACTATGCATATTTCCTATTTAGTACCTTACTGGCTTGTTCTGTTTGTATGACCGCCGTTGGAAAATGACTTGTAAAAAGGACCAGCCAGAAGAGCGAGGTGCGCCAGATCGCTGGGACCCTTTTTCCACCTGGATCCCCGCTTTTTTTCGCCCTCATGTCCCTCCGTTGTCGCACAAACTTGCCCCCACTTCCTCACTGCCTCGGCCGTATCTAGACCCACAGCTAGTTCGTGATTGCCCCTCTTGTATTGTGGCGTGGAATAACATAGCGCAGACCACACAAAATTGGGCATAAATCAAAAATATCTGCAAAAAGCTCACTGCGACACACTGCTGCGGGAGTATACCCACACGTAAGTCCTTTCTAACAGCCACGACTATTTTGATTGAACTTAACATGGCAACCACTGATGTACTTCTGCCACGGCTGAAGTGTCCTTACCAATTTCAGGTACGGGGACAGACTGAGGCTGACTACTGTATGTTAGTTGGACTTTTACAGGTTTAATGTTTTTATGCTAAGCTAGCATTATCCAGGACATAGTGTTTTGATAAGTGAACATATCACAGACGTAAAAAAACCTCCTTTAAACTTTTAGCACACAACAGAAGCTGTAAATGTGGTGTTTCGAGTCTAACCTATGTCCAGATTAAAGATCTCCTCCAATACGAGCTGAAAGAACTCCTTCGAAACTCCTCCCTCATCTACGCCTTGCTCCCCCTCGAACTCCACATACAGCTGCTTCTTCAGGTCAGAAGGGTTCTCCATAGAGATCATTTCCAACTGGAAATGCAGGAAAAAACAGAGTTCAATGATTAATGGTGCAGCAATGACAGAAGTAATGCAGACAATTTATTTAGACTCACTCTGACGAGGGCATCGTCAATGATGTGGTCTCGGCGTACTTTGAGTTTCAGATAGGGGTTTGGCTGCTGGCCCTGTACCATGCTGTAGAGAGCCGTCAGGCGTCTTTCGCTGTACATCCGGATCCTGTTGTCATAATACAAGCCCTGGCTCTTGGTAATGACGCTAAGAATGAAGGGGCAGCTCTGGAAGGAAAACTTTGTTTCTGCGTTGACTTTGAAGAAGGTAAAATCTTTGTCCATTTCAATCACTTCGTTCACAGATTCATTGATAAAATCCTCAAATGGTATGAGGGGCTTTATGCTGTCTATGGCGCGTACACCAAGCTCTCTCTCCAAAGGGTCAACCCGCGGGCCCTTCTTAAAGAGCCGCTCTTCACCCAGCAGTTCGTGCAGCGTCAGCTCATCTGACTCGGAGTCTTCATCATCCTCTTCGTTGTGCTCTACATCCACCTCTCCTCCGAGGATGTTTGCGTAGAAGACTACCTTTAAGCAGTTGGTTGCAGCCACCACTGTCTCGTCGTCATTCACCAGATTTTCTGCACCGTATTCATTGCTAACAACAGTGAAAGTAATCAGCTGCTGGAAGGTCTCCATCATCCGCCGAACGTGAGGGAGGCCGTACGACGACCAGAGTTTGGTCAGCCGAGCTAGGGCAGTCAGTGGCAGCTTGCTCATCGCCTTGCAAAATTGAGGTAATGCCACTTCCAGGTACTCTGGGCTATGAAGGTTGCTGTTCTCCATCACAATAATGAAGATGTTCAGGTAATCAGGGTTTGTTTCGTACACGTCTAGATATTCCAGGTCAAGTTCCACGTTTGGAGTGAGGTAAATGAGGGCATTTACCAAGGCAGACTCCACCTGGTCGATGGAAAGAAGTTTATCGTAGACCCTCCGTACGGCATCAATGTCTACGGTGGGCTCGTAAGAGTTGGGGTTTCCATTTGGAGTTTCCTCTGATGAGGAGGCGGAGGAGGAGGCCTTCTTGCCTGAGGACTGGTCGCTCTCTTTCTCTTCTCTCAATTTAAGAGAATCCAGGTTCTTGGCGGCACCTGGTTCCTCCTTCCGAAAGCTCTTCATGAGAGCTTCCGCATTAGAGAATATCCTGCCAATGATGCGGACAAGAGTAGAATAATTCCCTTCTTCCTCACAGACACTCAGGATCCTACACACCGTGTGCTCTGTGAGGTAGTGAACATCTGTAATTGGAGATAAAACCATTACAACAGAGCTAAACTCTGCATCCATGGGAATCAATAGTCCACTTTAAAATACCTGAGAATTTTTCAGTGTTCGTCTCGCTCTCCATCCGAGAGTTTTCGTCAGACTTGGACTCCACTGAAGGGTAATAATCGCACAGTTTGGCATTAACCTTAAATAGGTCCAGCGCTTTAGCAGCAGCTGCATTGTTATCCAGAGGTTGACAGTTATTGCTAGAGGCACAAAACTCATTGGTGCAGTTGCCATTTCCACAGCCTTCAGTTAACTGTCGAAAGTAGCGTTCGATTAACCGCTTTGCAGTCGCTCTGTTCCTGTGAAAAACAAACAAGAACACAGGCTGATCATTTACAATATATACATTCTCATATCTGTTGGGCTGTGGCGGTTTAGAATTGGCGGGGTGCATCTGCTTTGCAGAGACTGAGGTACTCCAATCATGATGACCAATGAAATCAAAGTATTCCCTCTTACTGAGCTCTTTGGTCCTGCCACCATCTAATCCGTACTGCACATGTGCAAGCAGATATGTTAATCTAAGTCACCATAAATACTGTAATAATGGTACTAAAAGTTCGTATTTTTATCCTTAAATCACCAAAGAATGCTTAACTACATATTTCTAAAAATATTTTATGACTTTTCTGAGCCTATTGGATACTTTTTACATTCGATCTCTTAAACTGCTTGTCTGACCTCATCATCGGGCATGCTCAGATATATATGATTATACTGTTTACATCTGCTTTTTAGTTGCTTTTTTCTTTAGATTATGCGTTATATACCATAAGTTTGAAACAGCGGCTGTATGGTGGTACAGTGTGTAGCACTGTTGCCTTGCAGCAAGAAGGTTCTGGGTTTGATTCCTATCCCGGGGTCTTTCTGCCATGTGTGGGTTTCTCTCTGGGTACTCCAGCTTCCTCCTACAGTCCCAAAACTGTTAGGTTAATTGGCTTCTCTAAATTGTCCTTAGGTGTAAGTGTGTATGTGCATGGTTGTGCATCTTTATGTGTCTCTGTGTTGCCCTGCAACAAACTGGCGACCTGTCAAGAAAAGTGGCAACCTACTCATGGCTTCTGAGCCCCTTTGCAATAGACTTTATATTAGAAATACGCATGTACAGTAAAAGTACTTTAACCTGTTTAGTTTTAGAAAATCTAAATAAAATATTGTCACATAGCAAAGCCATGTTCTTTATGCTGCAGTACATTCTGAGTAAATTCTGAATCTTATTGCGCCACTGCCATTTAGCAATAATAGCATGGAATAATGTTAAACCTTTTCCGTTTGAACTGGAGCGCATTGAAATTTGTAAGAACGTAGAAATCACAAGAGGGAGTAAAGAAAGACCAAAGGGAGAGAGAGGGGAGTGTAGGCCGAAGAAGCTTGGGTTTATATGCCTCTGTTACTAGGAGATAGGGGCGTAAATAATAATCGTTTTGTATCGATGCATTGATCCACCAGCCGACAATCTGATGCATCGATACGTCTGCAAGAGTATCGATTCATGTTTTTTTTTTCCTCTGGTCTATTTTTATCCACTTGCTCCTGGACGTATTTCTGACTCCCGTGCTGCAGTGGCACTAAACCTGTTTTTCCCTCCTACCTCGCTTCCTTTAGACACTGCCCTCTTTCCGCATGCGCACACATGTGTTAACAGTAGGCAAGACGGACATGGCGGAGATAGCGGAGGTGAAAAAAAGAGGTAGGCAAGACAGACGTGGCGGAGGAAAAAGAAGATGATATATTCTTGAGTATCGAAAATAATCGAATCGTTTGGTCAGGAAATGGATACTGAATTGAATCGCCATGATGGGTGTGATTTACACCCCTACTAGGAGATGCTAACCAATATGGAAAGCCATACTACACTAAGCTCCTAGTTTCTAGGCTGTTTACAGTTACTATCAGGATCAAAGATTGTGTTAGATATATAATGATGCAAACGATGTGTATATATATAAGGATGTGTTACAATGTTATCCGGACTGAATGATGCTTTGTCACTTTAAACAGTTTCTTATCTTCTGATTTGATTTTGATTTCCGATGTTTTAACGGCTCATGAAAACATTGAGGCAGTCGCAGCATTGTCTAAATGTACCATGTCCCCATTTCCTATTTTACTTTTCATAAAAGGTATTTATTTTATCTATGAGCTGGAAATGTCCCCAGATTAGATTGCAGAAATCTGGTCACCATAGATTCTAGTCCAGTAAGACCAAACCACATCATCAACCCAGCATATATTGCACAGGTGATAAAATGGCAACCTGACTGTGTGAACCAAAAAAGGTTAAAAAACAAACTGCAGGAATTTGTTTTCCAAGTTTGAAGATGTTTCGCTTCCCATCCAGGAAGTTTTCTCAATTCAAAATGCTTCCTGGATCAAACTTGGAAAGCAAAGTCCAGTGGATTGTTTTTTTACTTTCTTTTTTTTACTTTTTTGGAAAGACTATGACATGGACTGAAAATCTTCACCTGCTTCCTGTGTGAAACATATAAAAAGTATATATCATTTGAATTATCTTATGTGTTTCTACATATCACGATTTTTAAGTTAATAGTTACAACATTTTTAGACCAACTTGTTCAACTAGTTGTGGATCTCTTTAAGTCAGCACCAACCCTCATGGATAAACCCTCTTTTTGCTTCTTTTTTGTTTGTTTTTTATTTAATCTAATACACCTAACGCAGAAAAGAAGCTTTTATTTCATTTTTATCACATAACTACTGGGATTTATCAACACCTAAACTCACATGACTTCAACCGACTATTCCTATTGGTGCAAAATCCTTTCATGCTGACAGTGGCATCATAACCAGAAGTAAATATTTATATATTCTAAACTAATTAAAATGTATTTTAAAAAAAGTATGTATTAAGTATTACTTTGTTTTTAATAAAATCAATAATTTTATTCTGCACCACTCTAAACATTCCGTGGATGTATTATTTTTGAAAAATGTATAGTTTTGATGAAAAATTGAAGCTATGACCTTTAAGAAAATCTTTTCCCTAGCAAGATGCTGCCACCACTATGCTTCATGCTGGGGTGATCAGAAGCGAACATTTTTTGCATCATCTACGGTTTACTGTGTCCCTAGCATGAACTGTGGTAAAGTGGGAGGTTTTAACAATGTTTTTTTCAACACTAACGTTTCTTCTTGCCACTTTTCCATAAAGAATATCTACGACACACCTGCATATACATTAAGCTTGCTTGAGTTTTATGCCTCTAATAAATCCAGTGCTACCAATGGTCTTTAGAGGTAATCTAATTAATAATAAAGTGGAATTTATAAAGATTAGTTTTGAAACAAAATAACCTTCATAATTAGCACCTACTGGGTCATGAAAACACTGTGGATCTCTGCAGCTCCTCCAGTGTAACCAGTGTCTTGGTACATTATCAGTTATGTGAATTTCTCCAGAAGTGTATCTCAATCTGTCCGCTCCGCTGTGATCTTATGTCTTCATGATGCTCTTTGCTTTCTCATGTTTTTCTGACAAACCTGTCAGGTTTTCGCAGAACAGCTGGATTTATATTGAATTTATACTAAACACAGATGGCCTCCTTTAACTATTTCGGGGAGCACTAAAGGAAATCAGAGTAAGAAAAGGCTGACCTGTGTTGAATTATTTTTCTTTTGCTTGACAATAATCCATTAATGAATGATATTATGGAGGATGCCAGTCATCCTCTAAACATCATCATCAGCAAACAGATTAGCCTGATGGCACATCATATAAAGACCATGAGAAAAAACTGTTAGCAAGGGAAAAACATGTGTGATAATGGTCTTAGAGAATTTGCATGAGTCCTCAGCCTTAAACCTGCTGGTTTAACAGAGATTGCGCTCATAGACCTTCAGTTTGCCACACCATGACCAGAACCTTTTCTAAATTTATCTTTCTTTTCACACCCTACCCAGCAACAGGCCAGGAGGGGCGACAGTATGTTAGCATGTGCTCCATATCGTGAGCATAGACCAATGTACAATAACCTCACTGCACTTTCTCTGATGTTTTTTTTTTACCCTGTTAAACCCAGACTGTAAAAGATATTTCTAATCTCACAGATTTTTTTTGTGTTTGAATAAAATAAAATACAAATCAATACACTATGCATTTGGTATCAAACTTAACAGTGTGGGTTGACTTACATTCGGCTGGATTCAGTCACCCGTCTTCAGGCCTGGAGGACAGTCAGCTAAGAGAGTGATTGGACAAAAAAATGTAAGATTAATATTTGTTACACATTAAAAAAAAATCTTTTTACCTTTTTCCCCGTACACAATTTATAGACCAGCTCCTGGTGACCGGTTTTATCCACAGAAACCCCTATTTGGTATCGAGTATTTAATTAATGGCTCTGAAGCATCACAGTCGTATTTACAGAAGATGCATAAACCTTTATAATCATATTTAGATTGCAGACATAACTATAGACGCAGACAAAAAGACTGTTTCACTGCCAAGGAGGACAGAAATATAATTCCTAAGGCAATGGAATGCAGTTCCTAGAATCTTATAGAGAAAGCAGCAGCCAAGCCTTATCCTTCAAATGCATTTGATGGTTTTGATCCTCTGCAAGTCTCAGCAACTCATAAAAAGCAGGAATAATTTGGCAGTTTGTTGGTCTAGAACATGCGGGTATGTGTTAACTCTATGCCAATAAGAACAGGCATCAGCAATGACTTTATTGGATTATTACAAAAACATCTGAGGAAGCTGGCAGTCCTCTTAACAGCAGGTGAAAAAGAACCATCATAACATTTTAAATAAACAGCTACATGAAGAATAAACAAATATTGATGGATTGAATTACAAAGGTAAACAACATATGTTTGCATGGGTGTGTATTATAAATAACCTAAAACCCTTCAGGAACAAACACCTCAGGTTCCCTGCCAGGCACAGCAGAAGGGGAGGAATGATTTGGGCTTGTTGTAAAGCAACAGGACCTTTGGACTTGCAATTACTTTGCACCATTATTTAAAGTCCAATGTAAAATGAATGAACATAGATGCGCTTTTTTTCTTTTCTTCACAGAACAAAGACAGTAGCAAACCCCTGAAGGCAAAGGCAATGCAAAAGTTCTGTTTAAGTCCAAACCTCAACTTGACATTCTACATCCGGACCCTAAGGGTACAGGTTCCCAAAGCTCGGGTCATGGCTCAGTGAGTGTGGGGTATAGAGAATATCTCCAGGAATTCATCTAAATAAAATGATAATGTTGAAGCATTTTTTTTTTTCAATTTCTTTGAGCAACAACAGAAGCAAGATTTAGATTAAGATGTTAAGACATTTTACTAGAGCTCAAAAGAAGTAGGGAGAAGTTCAACAACTTGTATGAACTTGAACTTAATGATATCTAAGTAAAAACTGAACTTCATGTCTACATGCTTTTGTATTGTTATCATTACATACATGGTTGATTCATTTTTGAAGAAATATTTAAAAACAAAACCATTTCGGGTCATGACTTAATATTGAAAGGCCCAGCAGCTGAAAGGTTTGGGCCCCTCTGCCCAACATGTGCTCAAAATACGACATAATGGCAACAAATGTTCTTGAAAACAATGTCTGCCACCTATGAAACTGATTGGATATTTAGTCTGTAAACAGTGTTTATTATATCAGCAGTGGCAGTTGTAGATGAAATTCACAAGGAGGGGCAGTGATTTGTCTTTGGGGCAAAGAACAAAAGAATAAAAGAAAAAAACATTTTAGTTAAATGACCCACAAACGGGTAATTTCTGTAATTTTTAAATAATGTGCAAGCCGTAATTGAAAAAATCAATTACGGCCTCATTTGTCAGCACTTATCATAAGAAACTGATTTAGTACAGTATTACACTGCAAAAGAAAAGTTAAAGTTTCTTAAAATCTGTTTATTTGCCCTTAATTTGAGCAGGAAGATCAGATGATCTGCCAAAAAAAGGAGGATTCATACCTTTAAAACAAGATATTTAGATACTATACACTTGAAATAAGATAATAGATTTTTTTTTAACACAAAATCCTATCAACCTGTTCCAAAAAAAAAAAAAAAACAATTAAAAGCAATCCACTGGATTTTGTTCTCAAGTTTGAAGATGTTTAGCTTCCCATCCAGAAAGCTTTTTCAATTCAAAATGTCAGGAATAGTTCTGAGTTCGAGGTTTTATACAGCAGACCAAAAAAAAGCTTTGTTTTTGTTTTGAAAACATGGAAATTGAAACGGACAAAGATAGAAAGAAAGAAAAACCAACCTTAAAAAGCGGGGGTGGACTCAGGTTTCAGCTTTCAAAAACCTACAGTGCAGCAATTGAGTTGATCCCTTCCTGCTATCATTGCAGCCCCTTTGCAATAGAGCAGAAGACCTCGCCTATTATTTGAACCATTATTTATCCTGCACTTGCTGCTATTGCACTTCTGCTTAGACCTAAACTGCATTCCGTTGCCTTGTACCTGTCTAATGACAATAAAGTTGAATCTAATCAAATCTAATCTATTCAGCCAGGCCCTTTAACGACCTCCCTTTCAGAGACATAAGGCCGATTTATACTCAGAAAAAAAGGTTGTCTGCGTCGCAGTGAATGCCGATATGCCTCCGCCCCTTCTGCAGACACTCTGCTGCACCTCTCCAAAATTGTAGGTGACCGCAAACAGTGCCGCAGACAGGAGGCTTCTGATTTGTCAAATCTACATCCGCTCTACACTATGCATATTTCCTGTTTGGTACCTTACCGGCTTGTTTTGTTTGTATAATCACTATTGTGGAAAACTCGTGAAGATGGACCAGCTAGTAGAGCAAAGTGCGGCAGAACGCTGGGAACCTTTTTCCACCTGGATCCCTGCTCTTTTTCGCCCTCATGTCCCTCCGTTCTCGCACAAACTTGCCCCCACTTCCTCACCGCCTCGGCCGTACCTAGACCCACAGCTAGTTGGTTGTTGTCCGTTGTGGCGTGGAATAACATAGCACCAACCACGCTTTAATATTGGGCATAAATCAAAAATAACTAACAATCTCACTACGACACACTGCTGTGGGATGATAACCAGCCCTTTAGACGGGTACGGGGCATTGCAGGCTAACAAAAGAAGCCAAACGACCCCCATTCCAAAGGAGTGGACCCCTTCGTCCATTTCATTTTACATCTTTTCCAAACAAAAACAAGGATTTCGTGGACTACTGTATAAAACCTCAAACTGAACTCTATTCCTGGCATTTTGAATTGAAAAAGCTTCCTGGATGGGAAGTGAAATGTCTTCAAGCTTGGAAACAAAGTCCAGTGGATTGTTTTTAACTTTTTTTTCCTACAGTTCTACAGGGGCATCGGCCCCCGATGGCCCCCATCTAGAACTGCCCATGTCTATCAGCTCTACAGAATATCTCGCTGAGCTGCAGTGATTTAATTGGCTAAGAAACATTGGTGTGATTAAAAAAAATAACTTTCAGCTGGAGGATTATATTCTAATACCGAGAATAACCCCCTAGTTAATGAGCTAAATGGGACATAAAAGGTTAAACCTGCCACATTTATTGCCTGCTTATAAATGAACTGTTAACCTTTAGACCGGTATAAAGCCTGATTATACCCAAAGGGAGACTGGGAAGACTGGAGGAACAAAGTGGAGACAGACAAAGTTTCTTACCAAACACTTTAAAAGGAAGTAAGGCTGAGTTCCTATTACTGGCAGCTCTATTCTAGTAATGTCAGCCTATAAAAATGAAACAGCTGATAGCTAATCACGCTCCCACGGCTCCACCAGCTCCCACTCCACGGTCCTGTCCCTCTACTACTGTGGAATAACTGTAATAACCAAGCAGAGATACTGACCTGAGATTAGACTGAAAGCACAGCGTGTGTCAGTGACGGTGCAGAAAAAAAAATCACTCGTGTAAGAGTGACAGCTCCGTGTGCGTGGGTTGCCGTGGCTCAGTTTAAAGAAAGCAATCTGTTTTTTACACGCGTGTCAACGGTTCGGGTGTGCCAGCGTCAGAAAGAGGAAATATGTTCCGTGTTTCAGTCAAAGCGGGTTTCTCTGTCAATTTGTAAACAAGAGGCGAGTTATATCCCGGCATGCAGCGCGAGACTATCAAACGTCATGTAGACTCGCTCCTCTCACCTTCACGCGCCACTATTACAGGCGCGCAGCTGCGAGGAGTGACGAAAACCACCAGAACACCGCCGGTTAAAATATTCTGCAGGGGGGCTTTTACTTTGATGTGGTCTCTGGGGTATATGGAGGGCCACAATTCACATGTTAATGTCCCAGGTAATTAATGGAATAGAATAGGATAGAATAGAATAGAATAGAATAGAATAGAATAGAATAGAATAGAATAGAATACTATTGGATAGAATAGTACAGAACAGAATACAATACAATAGAATAGTATAGAATAGAATACAATAGTATATAATAGAATAGTATAGAATAGAATAGAATAGTATAGAATAGAACAGAACATGATAGAATAGAATAGTATATAATAGAATAGACTCGTATAGAATAGAATAGAATGGAATAGAATAGAACAGAACAGGATAGAATAGAATAGATTAGAATAGAATACATTAGAATAGAATAGTATATAATAGAATAGACTACTATAGAATAGAATAGAATAGAATAGAACAGGATAGACTACAATAGAATAGAATAGAATAGAATAGAATAGAATAGAATATACCTTTATTGTCCCACAATGGGGCAATGGTGGAGTTACTGTCAGGTTGGGTGGAGGTTGGTTGAGGACCCAAAAGCAGAGATGATGGAGGCAGTGATAAGTTCTTGGAGGTTTAATGAAATCAAAAAGGCAACAGAAACAAAACCCAAGAACTAAAATGCAGAAAACCACAAACCAGGAGACATCAGGGGAAAAGACTCATGGGGAGCCAAGTAGGGGTGTACAAAATGATTGTTTTGTATCGATGCAGCAATCCAACATCCAACGATCAGATGCATCGACTCGTCCGCAAGAATATCAATTCATGTTTATTTTTTCCTCCGGACTATTTTTATCCATTTGCTCCTGGGCATAATTCTGACTCCAGTGCTGCGGTGGCGCTACACCTTTTCTGTCCTCCTACCTCGCTTCCTTTAGCCACCACCTTCTTTTTGCTTGCAGTCATTTTTGATGCAAGGCCTTTCAGAATCTGTAACACAGAGGCATTATTATTTCTCAGTGAATGAGGTTTTCATAGGCCTAGGTGGAGTACAACTTTGCTACTATACCTGGTTGTATTTCTCTTTTGTTGTAATTCCAAAAATGTTTTTTATTTGGTTAAAATCTGTCTTGTTTTAACTGTGTTACTTTTTATTTCTTCTCCTGTGGTGTTGTGTTTAAATAGTTTGCACCCCTTAGACCCTCCCCCTTTTGTCATGTTGTCCTGTGGGGGAGGACTCACTTGGAGCAGGCGGCCTATAACACGGTTGTTTTCTTGTGTGTTGTTCTTGTCAGGTACAATAAATTGAGAAATCGCCCCTTTGAAGACAAA